TATTGAGGTTTTGTACACTTACGATTGCCCATGTAAAATTCCCGAAAACCTCCTGAAAAATTCAACAATCCTCAAAACTATCCAGCTCTCTTTCATAATGTAAAATCACAAACAATCCATAACAAAATTCTTCAAACCCCCACCTATTCTGTAAACTTATAAAAACCCCATTATCATATCAACCAAACCTGGGCCTAAAGCCCGGGTCAGCCCAGCCCAGGCTTCAGCACGAGGTCTTTACATCCCTAAGGCCTTAAGAATAATTATTTGTTCTCTGTTTTACTAACGTTTATGGATGTTGGTTTCAAATATTATATTTTGATTATTCTCGTTTCAAATACTACAATTTGAGTTAATAAAATGGATAGTTAACTTTTAAACTTATATTGAAAGGACAAAAATTATATGTATTTCAAATACAACAATTTGAGTCCTTTGACTTACTAGAATAGCTTGTATTTAAATTAAGCTATAGACTTTAATTGATTCATTTCCTTTTATTGGGGGTTGTTTCTTTTATTAGTTAAAGGAGAATTTCATATGCCTTTTTGAAAATTTAAGATTATTCTGAATGGCTATTTTATTGTTGAGCATTTAGTTGCCTTTAAGAAAAAGTTAGGGTGAGAAATAGAATACTGTTTTATTTGGTTCTGGCAAGAAAAATATTCAAAGATTTTTGTACTTGAAGATATCTTTAAGCTCCCAAAGTCCTTGAACTACTATAATAAGCGTGATTAATGACGGTTTTAAAGTATCCTTAAATGAACAAAAAAATACTTCTATTGAAATGTCATGAAAAATTATAAGACATTTAAAAAAAGTCTTCTTTTACTTAATTACATAATTAATCAAATTTTAAGTTGAAAAATATTATACAAATATTAGTCTATTGTTTAAAAAAAAAAAAAAATCTTCTTAATATAAAAGAGAAAACCTTTTTTTAATAGAAAATTGCTACAAAAAGGCACATAGGTCTCATATGAAGGTATATGTTTTGGAGACCCGTGGACCCAAGCTATTTAATGGGGTGGTAGGATATGGTGTCTTATAAGACTTATAGTAATACTACACTTACAAAGAAATTTTACAAAGATCTCCATACAAAGTAATGTGATAAAAAATGAATGAATTTAATAAGTTTGATTTTTTGTTTCACTCTTTCATTCATTTTTTGATACCCCACTTTATATGAAAATCTTTGTAAGATTTCTTTATAAGTATATTATTATTGATAAGACTTATTAGAGCCGAGGATTTCTTTGAATTAGACCCATTTTGGGGGATTCCAATTGGATACATTAGTCTTAATAAGCAACGAAAATGATTCAAAGGCCTCAAGTCAAGACAATTACGAAAATAGCATTGCGTGTAAAAGTAATCACATTATTGTCCATGCGTTTAGACATGAAACTACATATTTTCCAAATTTTGTTCACTAAAAAACCGAAATTACGAAAATCCCCTATTTCGACAAGATGTTGACTTTTCAATACAAAATTGTTTTTCTTGATTTTATATTTTCTAAAATCTTTGAGGAATAGAAAATGTTCCATTTCGGAATTATATTTTATTGTATAAAAATGTTTCTTTATTAGAAACTTACTATTTCAACCTTCCAAGTCTAATTTTATTAAAAACGTTTTTAATACTTTCCTACCATTAATGATATTGCAACTATCAAACAGCCCGAATTTTTTGTTACAATCGTTCTTAGTTTTGTTGACTTAGTTGTCTCATTTCTTATCTATCTAACTTTATTAATTAAGAGTAATATTATATGTACAATATTTCAAATACAATATAATGTAACAAAAGATATGGTTAGATGAAAGTTTATTTTTAATTTAAAATCAGTCAATCATTTTTTATCACATATTTGCTATATCATATTATACGAAAAATGTTGTATGTGTAGTATTATATACTAATTAATTATCTTAACCTTCAAAATAAAAAATTTAGTCAATGCCCTTCAAAATCTTTAACATAATAAGAATTATAAATTTGAGTAATGCTACAGTTATCGAAGGATGTACACTAAATTCGTACACCGAATGACGTGACAAAATATTGATCATTGATTCATTATAAATTAATATTAATTAATGATTATGATTTTATCACGTCATTCGATGTATAGACTCAGTGTATAATTTTTGATAATTCTATTATTTTCTTACAGATTTACATAGACTTATCTAATACCAAATCTGGTGACACATATTGTTTCACCACATAAGTGAAAATTCGGACAAAATATTATCGGCATATATAACTTTGATCTAAGATTTTAGGTACCAGACATATAAAGCGATGTCATGAATTCCACAAGCTCATTGTTTCAGGTGGTATATTTTAGCTTTAATCATGCATTGCACATGTGCTTTATATATTTGCCTTTTTATAAATTAAAAAAAAAAAAGAAAGAAAGAAATTGCCTGGAAAGAGTTGTAATTTCACGCGCTAAAAGGGTGCGGTCATGCATGTATAAAATGACACAGCTTTTTTCAGATTTGTCAAAATTACCTGCTCCTTGAACTGACTCATATACTCGACATGTTATGTTTAGAGCCCCACCACGCTTTCAAAATAATAACTTGAATCCCTGTGGCTTACCTAAGCTAACTTTGTTTTCACTTCTCTTTTTCTCTCTCTTTTGTACTTTTATTGACTTAATAACATTTTCATCCTTTAGGTTTGCGAAAGTACCAATGAAGTCCAGTAAATTCAGAACCAGCTACCTAAATCTCTGTCAGTGTCAGACTAATGTTGTTATATTCCATTAAATAATGTAAGGGTATTTTTGTCCTTTTATACCATTAACTTAACAATATAGCAATCGGGTTTCATGGTTTTTTATTTTTATGTTTATATTATTTTTCTTGTATTATTAAATTTTAAGAATTATAGTTAAAAATTCTCATACGTTATTTGTATAAAATGACAAAAATGCTCTTAAATTATCTAATGAAATGTAATAGCTTTTGTCTGACAGGGACTAAAGTCACTATTTCTATCACATTTGGGAAATAATTCTTTTATATATTATCATTATTATAGTTATTTTTTAACAAATTTTCGTCAATTATAAGGATAAAAATATTTCATTCTAAAATTTAGGTTTTTTTTTGGTTTAACTAAACATTAGTATGGGTGTCCATATAAAAACCTCTCCCTGGAATCGATTCTTGATTAATGTCTTTAAGTTAAGCCTATTTGTATCTTTGCTTGTTCTAGGTGAGACAATAGGCGAATAGCTGAGGAAGCAATCAAGTTTGAAGTAATAATGGTTTTTGAATGGATCGATGTGGAGCAATAATATCAATATGCGTACAAAATAGCAACAAATTCAACTACTTTTTCAAAGACAACACAATTCAACTTAACTCAAGGTACAGTGAAATCATTTTCTCTCTTTAATTCTTTCTCCGGGTGTGTTTCCTTTGCGTAGCGTGTAGTCAGCTGTAGAAACTAACAACAAAATCCTAGTTCTTTACTGTTCAGATGCAAAGACAACAAGAAAGAACATAACACAGAGAGCATTCTTGCCTCGGAAAAGAGCAACACAACCCCCACTCTATAATTCGGGTTTTAAATCCCAACAAACCAAAAAGACACAACAAAGAAAGTGAAATCTATTATAATTTAATAAAATTTACTCTTTATCTTTTGACATAGCTTGATTTATTGAGTGTATAACGTACCGTGTGAATATGCTTGTGGTTTGGTTATGAACAGTACAAAGTTTGCCGTTCCATAAAGGGCCAAACCAAACCCTATCTCTTTTTAATCTTTTGCCAAACGGATCCTCAAAAGTAGCATGCACTTATGGCTTCTTCTTCTTCTCTCAAGAAGCGTCTGAGCCTAGTGGGACAAGTAGGAATACTTGGTGAAGTTGAAGAAGAAGAAGAAGAAGAAGAAGAAAGAAGAGACTGGCTTCAGTTAGGGTTAGGGTTAGGTTTTGGTCTTAACACTTCTGGAAAAAAGAAACAAGAACATTATCAATCAAAAGAGAACCCCGTTTCAGTTTCACCCACTGTGTTACCTTCTCCTTCGCCAACGCTTCCTGGTGTCCAGCATCATCAAGAAATAGGACTAGGTTTAGGACTAGAATTAGGATTAGGATTAGGGTTAGGGTTTGATAATGGGAGTATGTGTTATAAGGATGTGGCTCCGATTAGTAATAATAATCAAAAGAAGTTGTGGGAAGATCTGGATCAGGGTGGTCAGTATTGTGATGATGAAGATCGTGATCTTGATTATGATGATGAAGATATACCATCAGGTAGCTGTCTTGACTGGCAAAATCCCAAGTTCAATGATTCTCATCATATCTCAACAAGAAGAAGACCCCACCCTGGTTTGTGGTTTACTCTCATCTCTTTTACGAACCGGTGAGCAAAATCTTCAAAATGTTCATCATTATAAACCCCATTCTCTCTGTCGCTCTCTTTATTTTATTTTATTCACAATTATTATGCTTAAGTGGACACTTTCTCCATTTGTCATTATTAAAATTAATTTTCTTTTCACTTCACTTTTCCTCATTTTTTTTTTGGGGTTTATTTTGGATATCTATCTCGTTTTCATTTCAATCTTTCTCTTGGGTTTGATCTTCAAAATGTTCATCATTATAAACCCATTCTCTCTCCCTCTTCCTGAAAATACTCTCTTATTTTTTATTCACCCTAATCTTGATGTTTAAGTGGACACATAATATATATGTTGTTAACTTTCTCCATGTGTCATTTATTAAAATTAATTTTCTTTCTACTTCACTCTTTCTCATTTTTTTTGGGTTTGGTGGTTATTTTAGTTATACTTATGTATCCTCGTTTTCATTTTCAATCTTTCTCTTGGTTTGATCTTGCACAACCTGAAATCTATCTCTCTCTCTCTCTCTCTCTCTCTCCCTTTCACTTCATTAAGGTGGTTTCAAATTTCAATCTCCCATTGTTGTATACAAAATATTTCCCTCTTCACACATTCCGTACGCCAAATTTCTCTTATTTTTCCCAACATTTTGTGTTTAATCTCTGTAAAAACTAAATGACTAATTGTTTGGCAATTGATGTGTTAATAACATGAACAGGGTTGGACAAGCACTGCCTCAAATACCTAAGGCGTATATTAGAGTGAAGTAAGTAGTGCACGTTAGATTACTATTTGCATCTTAATAATACATGAGCGTATCATTTCACTGTCATTTCAATGGACATATGAATGTATTCTTTTTTTCTATCAGCTAATGATGATGTTCTGTGAAATTAGTAGAAAAGGCTGATATTACTTTTTTTTTTTTTTGGTTTTGGTGTCATGTTTTTATTTGTTTTTTGTAAAAAGGGATGAGAACATGACAGTTTTCACGGTTAAAAAGTACCTGGTTAGAAAGCTCGGTCTCTCCAACGAAGCTGAGGTAATCTACTCAAATCTCTCTCTCCCCCTCTCAATAATGAAGCATGCATGAAAATAATAATTTTTTTTTTTTTTTTTGAGAGATGACAAGTTCTCATTACGTGGGTCATGTTAAATCAAATAATAATATCGCAGAACTCTGGCCAGTTTGATTTAAAATTATAGGGTTTTGAGATCTTTTGAGTATACTATCAGAAAATTGATTCTCGGCCAGTTAAGTAAAGTACCCTACTTCTTTTTCGGCCGCATGAAATTATTTGATTACCAATTTTGGCTTTGTATTTCTTTAAATGCTCTATCTTATATACTTCTTTTAACACATTAAATGGCTTCAAATATCCTTTTAGGCTTCTGTTTTTGGTTTTGCATGTTTCTAATTTGTTTACAAGTAGTTTGAGGTAGCCTAAATGACTTAATTTTTTGTATCATACGATTCCATTACCTATTTCTAAATTATATGATGTTCATATATCTTGAGACATTGTATTTGGAACATATGAAACTGTATAGAATAAATAATAAAATTCAGGGGCGTAGTATCATTGCTAGAATATACAGCTTTGTTTCGTAATGTATATAGTTATATTTTCTAATAGGATTCATTAGCGGCTATATAATATAGGGTACTAAGGCTAATAACCTCTCTAGTTGTTATGATTACTGGGAGCATTGTTGTTTTACTAGGTATATAATTATTATTTTCTAATATATAGGGATGTAAGTCTTTGTTTAATTTCTAGGGTCCTAAGGGCTAAATGTTCGTAAATGTTGATCTCGTTTTAAGGGCTGTAGGCAACTTTCATCTTTTTAGGGACCATAATTGCTGCATTTATAGCTGTAAAAGTATTATTTACGTTCTATGGCATTCTCATTTACTATGCATTTTACATTTATCGTAGCCATTGGTCGATTAATTTGATGCCACATGAGGCCTTAGTAGAGTTCATTTTACTTGTAGTAGATTGACATATGCAATGGTTTAAACATCTTTAGATCCTATGGAAACATTAGTATCCTTTTAGGAAACTCAAAGATAATCAGAAATTAAATCTTAACTTGTTAAATATAGTCATTCACCTTGAAAAAACTTGGTCCTTAGGAATTTACTTGGTCTAAAGTTAATTTAGCACCTCATCTCATCATTTCTGTCATTTAGGAAAATTAATTGTTTGATAAATAAAATTCAGATACGAGATACTGATTTTTAAATCGCAGTATTACTCTACTCAATTTTATAACTTTGGAACCTCTACGCTGTACTTGATGGAAATGAAACGAAAAATGAAACCAAATATAAAACACTTATTGGTGACCTAACTTGAAGAAAAAAGTCTTTTATTATTTGTCGCTCTATTAAGCCCCTTCTAGTCATAGTATGTTAATTGACTAAGGAAGACTTAATCCCGGAAGCTTCTTTTGACTGGAAATACTGTAATCTAAAATGACATGTTGACCTTTTAAACTCTTTATGTGCCGTTTTTAGATGAAATTGACCCAAAAATCTGTCAAACCATGAAGTTAATTTAGTACGGTAAAAACCCTATTGTGAGATAAAGTTTACCATCGACTTTAATGTGAATTTATCTTGAATTGGAGAGAAGATTATGGGTAATTAAGTTGTATTGACATGAGTGTCTTAAGCTTATTAAAAGCATTTCCTGATCAATACAATGTCGGTTATAACGCTATTGTGATTTTGTGGACAGATTGATATACTATGCATGGGGCAGAACTTGTTGCAAACACAAACTTTGAAGCAAGTGCGAGATGCTGTTTGGCTGCCGGGATTAATACAATCCATAAATTCAACAGCTCTAGTATTTGCAACCTCACAAGGCAGGCCGATTAACCATTTGATGCAGTTGCATTATGGAAGAAGATGCCTCGTTTGATAGTGTAAGAATTTTTAGAAGCATATGTGATGAATATGCATGCTTTATCAACCAAGGTTAAATTAATGTTAAATGTATAGTTTAATTTTTGAAGGTCGAACTTCTGCTCATCAGCAAATTATTGATCAATAACATTGACAGGTTAGTTTTATTAATTAATTTCCAAATAATCCTAGAAGAATATATATAGAACCAAGATTAAAGCTACCGATAATCAAGATATTTGTAAAGAGATTAAATACACGGCAACGTTAACAGTGAAAATTTTAAGCAAAGTGAATTCTTGTACCATATTTAAGTACTCTGATTAGCATCGCTTTCACACTCAAAGTTTCAGATTTCGGTTTACAGATAAGATCTGGGCAACGTCGACACTTCATTCAACAAAATTTATAGATTAAAACAACACAATATAGATTGCTATTAACAAATTAAATTATATAGCAATAAATATAGTTCATCATCATCAATTCAACAAATTCAATACGAGTAAAACAATACAATATAGCTCTCCATCATCGATTCAAACAACTCACTACCTCAAAAAAAAAAAAGAAAACTCTCACATATCACGTTATAAACACCATAATAATACCATTTCCACAACCTAAACAATACCAACAACTTTACAAGCTCAATAATACCAAGTCAGAAAAAACCTATAGGTCATTTTATCCCTAAACCCTAAACCCTGGTTATCAAAAAAATAAAAAATAAAACATAAGCATGTATTTTTAATTTATCTCCAAATAACTTCTAGGTCATTTTATCTAGGGGCGGACCCAAGAATGAAACTTACGGGGGTCAAAGGTTAAAATAAAAATTAAGATAAATAAAAATAAAAATAAATAAAAATATTTATATTAATAAAATTCTCATTAACTAATACATTCATAATTGTTCTCAAAAGATTTCATCTTTTGAAAATATTGTATAATGACTTTATTATCAATACTATCAAATACATCATTCTCTATATACACAATTAAACTATCATTTATCCATTAATCACTCACCATGACCACGAAATGGGAGTCGTCCTTGCCTTAAAAGATAACGAACACAGTCAATTATAGCATTTATACGAGTTCGGTACTCAATTTGTGTTTTAGAAGAGNCTCACATATCACGTTATAAACACCATAATAATACCATTTCCACAACCTAAACAATACCAACAACTTTACAAGCTCAATATTTCCAAGTCAGAAAAAACCTACAGGTCATTTTATCCCTTAACCCCGGTTATCAAAAAAATAAAAAATAAAACATAAGCATGTATTTTTAATTTATCTCCAAATAACTTCTAGGTCATTTTATCCAGGGGCGGACCTAGGAATGAAACTTACGGGGTCAAAGGTTAAAGTAATAATTAACATAAATAAAAATAAAAATAAATAAAAATATTTGTATTAATAAAATTCTCATTAACTAATACATTCATAATTGTTCTCAAAAGATTTCATCTTTTGAAAATATTGTATAATGACTTTATTATCAATACTATCAAATACATCATTTTCTATATACACAATCAAACTATCATTTATCCATTAATTACTCATCATGACCACAAAATGGGAGTCGTCCTTGCCTTCAAAGATAACGAACACAGTCAATTATAGCATTTAAACGAGTTCGGTACTCAATTCGTGCTTTAGAAGAGTGTCTATAAAAAAATGTCTGAATGTGTTGGTCTTGATTCAATAACGATTCACACATTCTTCGAGTTTAGTTATGAGCAACACTTCTAGCATGAACATTCAATCTTTCTTTCTTTTCCCAATTTGAAAACCCTTGACCAATAAAGTGATCAGCACCCTTTTATCACCAACATCTAACCTAAAAAGATAGCAACAAAGACAAAATCCTACATCTTTCGCTATACTATATTCCAAGCATTGATCAAATTCATCAAACCAAGGAACATCAAATCCTCTTGAAAATCCACCAAAATCTCTAAAAGGAAACTCATGGCCTTTAGGTTGACAAGAACCCCTTTTCAAATATACTCTTTGGATTTGATCTTGAATATTAGAATCATAATCTAAAATTCGGGGACGTAAACCTGGATCCATAGGAAGATCTCGCAAATCAACATCCACATTTTTTCTTGAATCATCAATATTTTCTTCTTGTTGAGATGATGAGATCATCGTTGACTTTCTTTTGAAATATCTCTCCATTTTATTTCAAAACAACAATATATTATTACTTGATAAAAAAAATAATAAATTTTATGCTCAATATAAACTAAACTAACATTTATAATAATTTTAAACATGAAAGTTAAATAAATGAACTTAAATTGCAGTAAGAAATTAAACAAGAGCTCAAAATCAATAGTATTTCACAAAAATACTTGATCTACAAGCCATTAAACATGTTGGTAAACTATATGTAAATTCAGCTAATTAGCCCCTTAATATTAGTTGTATATCATTGTTTAATCTCATATTCATGATATGAAGTTACATATATTTCGAATGACATAAATTCATTCTAATGTTATAAATCAAAACAACAAAAGAAAATTAATTCTAAAAGCTTTAATATATATATATATATATATTTTGTTTCATCATTTTTTTTCTAGTAAGATTAATTTTTCTTTATTGAGAGTTCTTGTCTTCTTGATACAAGAACAACAAGTCAACAACCAATTTCTTGCTTTTGTTTGGTAGCTCAATAAATTAAAATACACTTAGAAGATAAAAAGTAGCAGCCAACCAAGCACAAAACTACAGCAACATGCCAACAACCTCACCATTTATGTAGAAAAAAAATTCTACATGTGCTTGAAGAAACATAGTGAAAGCCAATCAAAATTATCCATGAGCACAACACTATAAAGGACATTCTAGAGAGCTTAAATGAAATTAATTAAACAAAATTCAATAATTGAATCAAGTAAAAAAGGGAAATCAACAAATATTCTTACTGATAAAAGAGATTCTGAAAACAGTGGCGACTCTTCAATTGAGTGGTGGGGCGCGCTAGGGCTGAGGAAGAGAAAAATAGGGATTGGAGAGACAGAGTGGGGCACGCTGGGCAAGAGAAAAAGTTGGGATTGGGGAAAAAAGGGAGAAATTATTATTAGAGAAAGTAAAATTTTTAATTAATTTAGTTTACTATAATTTTGTAATTTAGTTTTGTTATGGGGCAGAATTTAAAAAATTTAAAAAACTAAAAATAAAACCCAAGTAGGGTCACTTGACCCCATGTGGGTCCGCCCCTGATTTTATCCCTAAATCATTTTATTTTCATGGAAACTAATATATGTTTATTTTATAGGATATTATTAATTGGAGAGGAAAGTTTTGTGAAACTAACCCCAAAGGGTTGACTTGCCAGTTAAGGAGGTTTGCTTCCTTCCTTGAGTTCCTGGGTTCAAACTTTGGGGCCATCTATTACAATAACATTGTTGGTTACTTGCTCATTTGGGTTTGTAGGGTGTTTACTGGACCCCGAAGATTAGTTGAGGTGCACGCAAGCTAGTTCGGACAACTGAATTATATAAAAAAAATGTTTCATGAAATATCTATAAGAAGAAAGACAAAATTTTAATAGAAAAAGAAGGGGGGGGGGGGGGGGGGGGGGACAAAACTCCATTAGTTATGTTAAATTTAACGAAGAAAGTTACAAGACATAAAATACCATATACTAATATTTATAGAACATATTTTTTTACCGAGGGTGAATCTTATCCACCCTTGTAAATATGAAAGTCTTAAGCAACATAGCAATTATTGAAACAAAAATGCTATGTACACTGAAGACGTGGCACCCTGACTCGGACGTTGTAATGTAGGCACATGATACAAGACTTCTGTGAGGACGACTGTCTATATTTTTTGGAGACCATCATTCAGGAATGGACGGGGTCCAGAAAAAATATTAAAAATCAATTAAAATCAATGGACTCCCATCCAATAAAGGGACGGCGTCCCTTTACTATGGACGACTATCCAAATAAGCACAATATGGATGACAGTCTATCTAGTGTGGACGACCTCCGCATGAGATGGACTGGCGTCCATACTTTTTTAAAAATAATAAATAAAATGCACTGGTTTAGGGATTTTGGTTCCAAACTAATTCAAAAAACACAAAATAGCAAAACATTACATCTGCCGCCTTGAAGCCACATTATCTACTGCTTGTTCACTTTTCGTCTTCATCATTTGCCAGCTAGACTACCAGTTAAACCACTTGTGAGTATTTTTTATTTTGTACTCATTTCTCTCTTGCTTATCGTTCATTGAAGAAAGTTCAAAACTCTAATATTGGCTGTTATTATTGGTTGGTTTTGCTTGGTAAAGCCCTAATAATTTGCTCAAAACTCTCGAAGGATATATGTTAATTGGTTTGCTATTGTATTGATGAATGAGGCTATTTAATCTATGCAAAAATGTGAATGTAGCAAAATGTGAATGTGCATAAAACTCTTTCCAAATTTGTTGTTTGCCTATTGCTTGCTGGTTAGTGTGAATTGGAGGGAGTTCCTCATAAGAAGGGGTATATAGGGGGCATAAATAAAAGATGGAGGAGGTGTGAGTGGCATGTGAGCATGTGTTAGTGGAGGTTGGTTAGGTGATATTGTCGTGTGAAGAGTAATGTGCTAGGGGAGGGAATAATTCGATCATTAGTAGAACTAGTATATTAAGGAGTGTGATTTTAGGAAAGGAGAGCAGATTATTAAGCCTCCTTGAGGACGCAATTCTTTGTTGGACTATGTGACTTTTAAAGTGCAAAAAATATCAAACAAAATACACTATGTGACTTTTACAAGTGCATTGGCTGCCGTTCAGATCCTAGTTGGTGTGTTCAAGGCAAGATTGTTCATGCTCTGGTAACTCGTATGGGCCTACATGACAATTTGATTGTTGGCAATGCATTGGTAGCATGTATGCTAAGTTCGTATGATGGTTGAGGCAAATTGAGTATTCCAGATGATGCCTCATCACAACACTTGAGTTGGAATGCACTCATTGGTGGTTATGCTGAAAATGAAGAACCAAATGCAGTAGTTGAAGCTTATAAATTAATGAAGAAAAAGGGACACCTAT